TCAGACCCCTCCTTTTTTATTTTGTATCAATTATTTAAAAAGAAAAAATCTTTATACCCCAAATCAGCACTTTTGAAACAGGAAGTGAAATAGAGGGATATGAGGCATGGCTAGAATGGGTGATCTGTTTGGTATTTTGAGCAAAACACTTCATTGACATGTTTTTTATATATTTGTATATATCTGAGACCTATGCTATTGCCTACAAATAGCATGATAGGTGACCTTTAAGATTAACTACCCAACACTTCCTTTCCTTAAGCTTTACAGCTACTAACTGCAGTTATTATGTTCATTGATCCATCATTCAATTAGGAATAAATACAGTTAAGATATAAAATTTGATACAAATGGATTTTGTAATGATGCCTGCTAATGAGACAGGTAGAAACAAGCATGTTGGCTAGCTTAGAAAAGCCAAGGGCTGGATACTGTTTGAGTTGTTTTTCAATACACCAAAAGTGCCAAAACAATATTGAACTGTTAGTATTTCAAGGTCATACTTTTCTTTAACAACATATTTAAAATATTATATATTATCTCCAAATAAAATCCTTTTATTTATATTTTACTGAATTCATTTAATTATTTCTTTTATTTTCTTTAAATGCCTACAATAATTTTTTTCGAAAAAACGCAGTCTATAGAATAGAATTGGGAGGGATGAAACCCTCTTCAATGGTCACACATGCAGAGCACACAGCACACACAGTGAAATGTGTTCTCTGCTTTTAACCCATCCTAGTACCAGGAGTCTAGCACCAGGAGTCTAGTACTAGGAGTCTAGCACCAGGAGGCTAGTAATAGGAGTCTAGCCCCAGGAGTCTAGCACCAGGAGTCTAGTACCAGGAGTCTAGCCCCAGGAGTCTAGCCCCAGGAGCCTAGCCCCAGGAGTCTAGCCCCAGGAGCCTAGCCCCAGGAGCCTAGCCCCAGGAGCCTAGCCCCAGGAGCCTAGCCCCAGGAGTCTAGCCCCAGGAGCCTAGCCCCAGGAGTCTAGCCCCAGGATTCTAGACCCAGGATTCTAGGCCCAAGAGCCTAGCCCCAAGAGTCTAGTGCCCCAGGAGTCTAGCCCCAGGAGTCTAGTGCCCCGGGAGTCTAGCACCAGGAGGCTAGTAATAGAAGTCTAGCCCCAGGAGTCTAGTACCAGGAGTCTAGCCCCAGTAGTCTAGCCCCAGGAGCCTAGCCCCAGGAGTCTAGTGCCCCGGGAGTCTAGCACCAGGAGGCTAGTAATAGAAGTCTAGCCCCAGGAGCCTAGCCCCAGGAGCCTAGCCCCAGGAGTCTAGTGCCCCGGGAGTCTAGTACCAGGAGTCTAGCACCAGGAGTCTAGCACCAGGAGTCTAGCACCAGGAGTCTAGCACCAGGAGTCTAGCACCAGGAGTCTAGTACCAGGAGTCTAGCCCCAGGAGTCTAGCACCAGGAGTCTAGTACCAGGAGTCTAGCGCCAGGAGACTAGTGCCAGGAGTCTAGTACTAGGAGTCTAGCACCAGGAGTCTAGCACCAGGAGACTAGTACCAGAAGTCTAGCACTAGGAGTGGATAGTGCGTTGGTGTTCGGATCAGGAGGGCACAGGTTCAAACCCCACTGCATGTCGTTGTGTCCTTGGGCAAAACACTTCACCCCAAAGTGCTCCTGTGGGGATTGCCCATAGTATTGAGTGTGTTAGTCGCTTTGGATAAAAGCGTCTAACAAGTGACATGTAATGTGATGAGAAATCGTTTAAATAATGATCCTTTTCAAGCATATCTTTCGCTCAAAAAATTGAATGAATTTTTCCAAATCGTGCAGCTCTAGTCAAGTGTGTATTAGATGGAAAAATGCTATCTTGCATAATTTCTTAGGATTTCCCCGGCACAACAGATTCTCCTGGCATCGCCTCCTGACACCTGCGAGGAGTCAGCAGGAGGAAGAGGATCTCTACCTTAACCAGATTAATGTCTCTCACAGCCAATCACGAGGCGCCAATAGGGAATCCCCATGAAGTCGGAGTGAGATAAATAAAAATAGCCCTGGCCTGGCAGCTCGGCCAATGGCTGAGCCCGCTGAGAGATGTATAAATAAATAAGAGAAATAAATAAAAGAGTAGGGAAACACATCCTGAGGGCATCCCCTTCTGGCATAGACACTCTTCCCTCCCTTCCTCCACAACCAATCACTCACACTATTACAAGTTATTTGCTTGCACTACCTCAATCCCCCCCCCCACCCCCTCTCACTTTCATTCTCTCTCATTAATGATCTCATTTCTCACTCTCCTTCCCCGAGGCCCAGAATGAGGTTAGCTCCGCAGTCTGACCTATAAACAGAGCCATGGAAACTGCAACGTGTTACAGCGAGACACCTCTTTAACGGGAGGTGGATATTTGGGGAGGGGCTTCTCTCTCCCTTTTATTTAAACCAAGGGGCTATCAGACGCCATATTTACTTCATTTCAAACAATGTTTTTTCACACAGAAATATTTCTTTCCCTTAATTTCGCAATTTCTTCCCCTAACAAGTCAATAGAAACCTGGACCGCTCGAACACGCTCAATATTAAAAGAGGCTTTATTGATCTTTTGGGGGTTTTCCCTTTCCTGTAGTGTGTTATAGGAATGTTGGCAGACTTCAGTAACATGTCACTGATTTAGCAGACAAGGGTAAACAGAGCTGGGGTTAAACCAGTCCAAAGTACTGACCTTTCTCTACTAAAGCATGCAATGTCCAAAGCAGATATCGCTCTAAAAAGGCAGGATGTGTCCTTACCTTGCTCTAAATAGGTTGTGAAGCTTTATTTAGAACTTTGTTAATTGATTGCAAAGTTGGCCCAAAAATCTAAATGTTATCCCATGTATCCAAATATTTTCTTCACTTTGACTTCAAACTTTGGTTTTTGATCATTCCTACTAATATCTTACTCCTGTAGGGTTACTTTTGCTATAAGATTTAATATGTATACCATTATATATAATACCTTATTTCTTTTATACTTCATGGACATGTTGTCTCAAATACATTTGGCCTGGTAAAACCGTTGAAGATTATAATTTGGTTCTACTTATTTATACTTAAAGGTGGGGTAGGTAATTCACTTCAGAAACACTTGTTATATTCCGTGGAATGCTCTTAACATCCCGATAGCAATGAATACATTAAATGCTTTGACAATAAATACACAAATAGAAATATCATCTGTGGAAGCCGTGGCGCTGTAAAAAGCACGACCAATCATCTGAGCCGGCCCGGCTAAAGTAACTGGATGGCCTACCTGCCTGTCAGCCTTCCATCTGTGCACAAACTTATCTCGTGCTCTCATTGGTCATGTGCGCGTTCGTGTGTGTTGGAGGAGGGGCTCTGTGAGGAAGTCTGAAGGAAGGGGCAGATTTTTTTTTTTGGTAGCGTACTTTCAAATTCTAGCTCGAGCTGGTTTCTCCATTCTTACTTACCCTACCTTTAATAACATGTTTAAAATACGCATTGAAAAGCATTTTTTAAGGGTTTCTGACATCCGCCATGTTTCACACCTTCCACATTTTCTCCCAGTCCCAGACATAAGCTAGTTTTCCTCATAATTATTCAATGTAACATTGCAAGCGCTATAGAGTGCCACAGTGACGCGTCCTAAAACCAGGAAGTAAGCTCCTTCCGGTTCCTTCGACAAAAACCAACGCAATCTCTCCATAGGACTTTGGAAAACAGCTGGAAATAAGGTCTGTGGTTGAGACACATTGAAGAGACGGATCACGTTTTGTTCAGCCGGATAATCTCCACGTGTCTACCCTACTTTTATCATTTTCGAATCATAAATCTAGTCGCCAGAAGCAAAATGCTAACGTTATGCTATGAACGAACTACAGCAGGGTCGCTGCTTCAACGTCACGCCGACTTCAGATCCATATTCAAACTACAGATTCTAAATGGTACGAGTTGAAGCGTTTGTTTGAACAGTCTGCAGGAGGCAGGGACTTGCTTTCAAGCAGAACAGAAACTAACTTAGAGGAGAGTTTACGTGTTCGGCGTAATGACGTACAACGGCCTCTACGACTTCTGTAGTCCTATTCAGCCACTTGGTAACAACCATCGTTTCTCAGACACGTCCACTCTTCAGAAATCACCAGCGGGGTCACTGCTGATGATTTAATGTCGTAGAACAAAACGTGACCCGTCTCTTCAATGTGTCTCAACCACAGACCTTAGTTCCAGAGAGTTTCCTAAACCCTATGGAGAGATTGAATTGCTTTTTTGTCGAAGGAACCGGAAGTGGTAACATGCTAACGTACTTCCGGGTTTTAGGACGCGTCACTGTGGCCCTCTATGTATTTTAGGGATGCACAGATCTATCGACCCAATATCAGTCGATATCCTCCTTGTTGACTGTCATTGATCTTTTGCCAAATCACACAGGATGACATTGACCTGTGTCAGCGGACATGTTTATCTAAAGTGTTGTGTCTATTTCTTCCTTGTTGTTTCAGATATCTGCTCCCTGACCAGGGCTGGAATACTCAGCTGCTGATTCGTGATGTAAGAGGGCAACAGGTGTGGAGAGCACGTTGTGTTTTTTGTTTTGCTTCCAGTGAGCAGCTGTTCAGAGAAATACGGCTCTGTGACGTTTGTCTTTGTTATGAAAACATGCGTCTGACCTGACATCAGTAATATATGTTTTGTTCTCTAAATGTGGGCTTAATTGAAACTCTATGATACATAGCCTTGTATTTATTTATTTTACTTGTTATGTGTTTGACATGTTTTTATAGGAGTTATTTTAAGAGATAATTCACGTGAAAGAAGCTTGTCCGATTTTTATGATTGGTGGGCATTCAACGTGTTATGAAAGGCTTTTAAATTATGTTTTAGTTTCTACATATATAGAAAAATCAACTAAAGTGATCAAGAAAACAAGTGAATGAGATTTGCTACTTAGAAGGAGCAGTTTAGCATCGTCTGAATTGGCTTAAGATACATATTAAAAGGGCAAATCTTTAGGTGTTTGATGCCCATGAAACCCAGCTAAAAGGGTCTTACCGGCAGACTGGAGGGCCGCCCCTGCATGCTGTCCTCCTGGCTGCTTTTATTGGAAGCCATGGGCTGGTTGGAAGGAGGAGCGCTCGACTGAGAGCTGAACGAGTCCTGGGAAAGCTCCTGTTGTGGCGACAAGAAGGAGATAACATAATGTAAAACTATTAATCCAAACCAACGTAAAGCAAGCGTCTTCAACGGACGTTTTTCACTATAGCTTAAGTAAAGAGCAATGCTACAGCTGACCGTATTTAATTTTGTCTTCATTTACATTATTTAATTGCATACTCTGTTCTTGTACACATCCCATATTCTATTGACATGTATATAGACGTTTTGCACTACTTTTTATTTTGTGTTTTTGTATATGTTGCATTGTTGGAGGAGCTCAGAGGCCTGTACTACGAAGCAGGATGTTCTCTTAGCCGGCTAACTTCAGGGTAAACTCTGGGTTTCCGGTCCTACGACGCTGGTTCTCTTCTTAGCGGGCTAGATCTCCATGGTAACTTATGCTGAACGGCTAACCTGCTCCGGAGCAGGTTAGGTTTCAGGCTAAGAGCTCAACTCAGTGAAAGCACTGCCTGCTGACCAATCAGAGCTTAGTGTGCAGAGTTTAAAGCGATCAAGTCATATTACAGGAGAAAGGAAATACAGAAAAGCTGCCGTTGCAGGAAAGACGGCCGGCAAAAATCACCGACTGTGTGAACGTGAACATTAATAGAATATCACCTCCATCTTCAGAGCAATCTGACTATTATAACATTAGCGTTAAGAAAGCTTACTTAAATATCTGCCACAACATAAGTACACTGAGTGCAGACGTCGATGTGTCCCATTATCATTCATATCACTTCATAATGTATCATATATCTCCTTATCTGAGTCAGCTGAGCCGTATCTGGCCGTGCAACACTCAGTGTCACAGACTGTATGCAGAAGTATTATTTTAAGCAACACATTAAGTTGACGAAACACTCGAGACAAATGTAATTAAAGTCAAATCCCCTCGTGTCTTATTTATCTAATATATCATATTCCATGTACTTGTATAGACTCTTCTTGCACTATTTATATTCTATTTGTATTTACTTGCACATCTCAAAAGATTCTCTTGGACTATTTTATCTGTTTTATTTGTTCTATGTCCTATATATATATATATATATATATTCAGGTTGCTCTGTTGGAGGAGCCTAACCCCGGGATTCCACCGGGTCCGTCTGCGTCGTGGTTTTGGTCCGACCTCCTCCAGCGTCATACCCAACCGGGCGCGTTTCAGAAGCAGAGCGTCTTGCCTGCCGGCTCGCAGTTTTTGTTGATATGGGCATATTTCCTGGACAGGCTACTTTGTACAGACAAAGTTCATAATAATTGTAATATTCCAGTTATAAACGACATGAATCAAAGATGTGTTGCTGTATTTTAGTGGTAAAAAAATGCATTCATCATCATAATTATTATATATATATAATGTATACAGTGCCTGTAAACCGGAGGAGAACGCTGGCATTGCTCCTCCTACTTGAAAGACTACGGAGGGATAGGGTCTGTAAGATTAGTTTATTTTGGGGATTGACTGGATGCTCTGACCGGTCCACTTCCTGCCCGGCGCTATGCAACGCCTCACGTCGAAAATAGACCAGCCGCCTATTTCTAGTGGAGCCCAGCGCCGAGACGCTTCTGGGACGCTTCTGGCCGTAACGTGGCGCATCTAGTGGAATTGACTAGAGTGGCCGCGATCGCTGTGAACACCGCGGCGCGGCCGTAACGAGGCCATAGACGGCCCCGGTGGAATCTAGGGGTACGTTTTTCATTGCCATATCTACACTGTAGCTAATGTGTCAATGACAATAAAGTCTTGAAACTTGAAATGCTTCTCTGCCATGCAATGCAGGAGTAGTTCGTTCTAAATCGTACTATTCATTCAATCATCTTCCTGAAATGAAAAGCAGTTATGTTAAAAAAAACTATGTGCATTTTGATGGTCATTTACAAAAGTCAAAATATGACCAAAAATGCACAAGACAAGAGTCGAACCTAACTCCAGGAATATTGCCGTTGTATATAAAACAAATGTGATTAACTTTTCCCTAAGTCAAACTTCCGTAGCTCTAAATGCAGCAGCTTCCTTTTAATGATCACTGTCCATTCAGCCTTTCTTTGGCTTCCAGTGAAGTCCAGGATTGATTTTAGGATTCTTTTAATCACTTATAAGCCACTGCATGAAAAGCTCCTGGCTACCTCACCCAGCTTTTGGTTCCAGTGAGCAGCCACTTTGCTGTAAATCGTGCCAATCTAAGAACATTAAGGCTTTCTGCTGGCGTAGCATTGAGAATTTGGAAGAATCTCCTCGCCCATTTCTTCAAGTTGGCTTTCCTTTTATCTATACAGATTTTGTCTTACTTAAAGTGCTAATTTTGCACCAACATTAAGAGAGAGAGAGAGAGAGAGAGAGAGAGTGAGAGCTAGAGAGAGCTAGAGAGAGAGAGAGAGAGAGAGAGAGAGAGAGAGAGAGAGAGAGAGCTAGAGAGAGAGAGAGAGAGAGAGAGAGAGAGAGAGAGAGAGAGAGAGAGAGAGAGAGAGAGAGAGAGAGAGATTTGCAAGTTGCATAAGAACTGGTGAGATAGCACAGGGGCCGTCCAGGTATATTAACGGCTGCCAAAGCATAATTCGCGAGCCATTTAGGTTTAATTTTTTTAATCCAGTAACCCTGCTGCGAGGTTCATGGGCGTGCTCACTAGCGCACCTCCCCCAAATGCAGATGTTCCCCATAAATGTTAAAGTGATGCCAGTAAACAATATTTCTGTTTGTCAAAAACTGTATGATTATTACTAGCAAATATATGAAATGAGTGTCGAATAAAGCGTGAGACGACAGAGACAGCTTTGTTTTCACGGAGAATGAATAGGGGATGGGTGCTAGAATTTTACACTGAGATTTCTGAGTTTCTTTTACCGTCCTTTTTTCTGTAGAGGAAGTAAAGAAACCCTAACTCTGGGTTTATTTGTTGTTTGAGGTGCAATGTATGACTCCGCAGCTTTAAGACATGAAGACACTATTCATTTCCCCTTCGCTCTAATGCATTGTTTTGGCCGGAAGTGACGTTAGCGCCCGCTTTCTAGAAAAAACCCTGCTATACATTTGATTATAATCCTTCCATAAGTTCAGGGGTTGATCTGGATGTTCACTGAGGGCTATACAAATGCTTTCTATTTATCCAATTGTTCAGCTTTTTCGATTTCTTGCGCTTTATACTCGTCATTTGTGTTTTATTGTTTTGGTTAGTAAATCCCCTTGTACCGTTTGTTAAAAAGGTGCATCCTAAACACAGGTTAATTCCCATCAGCAGTGTGAGGTGTTATTACCTGTGGAGGAGGGGGGAACCTCTGATATGGAGACTGTTGTTGTTGTTGTGGTGGCTGTTGAAGAGGGGGAGTCTGGGAATAAGGGGAATGTTGCCCCTGTTGCGCCTGTTGCCCCTGTTGCGCCTGTTGCCCCTGTTGCGCCTGTTGCCCGTGCCCTGGAGGTTGCTGGGCTTGAGACGGTGTTCCTCCTGGTTGTTGTTGCTGCTGTTGTTGTTGTTGTTGTGGGGGCTGTTGTTGCTGTTGTTGTTGTTGTGGGGGCTGTTGTTGTTGTTGTTGTTGGGGGCTCTGCTGTGGGCTTTGCTGTGGCGGTTGCCCTGCTCCAGGAGGCTGTTGATAGCCAGGTTGACCTTGTGGACCCTGTTGACTTTGGGGTCCTGGTCCCTGTTGAGCCTGTGGAGGAGGAACGTAGTTTGGCTGTCCAGGCTGAGTTTGGGGGGGCTGGTTGTAGGGAGGTTGACCTTGAGGAGGGCCATGGGGACCTTGGGGTTGTTGGTAAGGGGCTCCTGGTTGTCCGTGTTGTCCAGAGGGCTGCGATGGGTGTCCCTGTTGAGGGTACGGAGCTCCAGAGACGCCCTGAGGCTGGCCTGCGTACGGAGGCTGCTGCTGTTGTTGTTGTTGGGCAGGGTGGGGGGGGGCGCCATGCTGAGCGTAGTAAGCCTGACCCTGCTGGCTGTAGCCCCCGGGACCCTGCTGACCATAACCTGACATCTGGAGGAGAAAACAGAACATTTAGTTTAAGAGGGTGGTGAAAACTGCACAGCACATCACCAGGATCCATCCATGGAGGATCTTTACTCCCAGTGGCTCAGAAAGAAAGCCCTCAGGATTATCAAAGACCCCCATCACCGTTCGGGACTAAAACCACTAGACACAGGGACAGTTTCATCCCACAGGACATAAGACTGTTAAACACCTGAACTTTTGAAAGAACATCCATAACATTCACTTATATATATATCTCAATATTCCAATTGCTATATATAGACTATTTTGTACTGTTTCTATTATATTATTTACCTGTACCATTTTATCTGTTTTATTGTGTTACACTGTTGGAGGAGCCTGTGAGCTAAGATTTTCATTGTCATAACCACACTGTAGCTATGCACACATGACAGTAAAAGCCTTGAAAACTTGAAACTTGAAGACACGGGATGATATGTGGGTATTGTCCACAGCAATAACTAGTGGTGCACGATAATTATCGGTCCGATATTAGGAATTATGACGTCATCCCGATAAACCCGATAAAAGTATTAATAGCCCCGATAATATACAATATATTTTTTGGTTAAAAAAAAAGAAAGAAATACTGCGGTGTGGGTGGATTGGGATGAGGGGCGCTTGTTTTTCACTCGGCTCCTCCCGTTTTGCCAGTACTGTGGTATTAGTGGTTTAGGAAGAGGGGAGTTTTTCACAAATCCAGCGCTCCCTAACTCGTGCCTGGCTGTGACGTAAATGGTGTGCGGCCGTGAAGCCAGGACAGTAAACAAACATGTCGCCGGTGGTATGGGACTATTTCAAAGTTAGATAGTTCGCTTGCTATTTGTATTAACAAATGCAGAAGTTCCACGAGGAGGGAAAAAGGCAACGAGCTATAATACTTCCAACCTGTGTTAAAAGCGTACGAAGACGCCTGCGCTGCTAAACTAGCGGCGAATCCAAAGCCAGCTGCAAAGGCACCGGGGCTTTTACCGATCGACGAGGCTTTTGAAAAAGGCAAGAACTTTATTTGGGAAAATAAATATGGTCACTTTGAAGAGTCAAAACTGTTCTTGGCTTTGTTTTGTTCATAGTAGTAATGCTCATGTCATTTGCTCACTACTAGTCTTTTTGTTACCACCAGGTGTGCAAAAACTACAGGTACATTTAATATATATATTATATTATTATCGGTTATCGGTATCGGTCTTGAGAAGCAGGAAGTTATCGGTATCGGTTTCAAAAAACCAATATCGTGCATCCCTAGTAATAACTGTTGCCGACAAGTGCCGCAGGAAAGCTGATAAAAGCAATGGATTTCTCCAATATTATTCAAGATCTTTGCCAACAAGACTTAATCTTGAACATACCTAAAAATAAATCAAATGAAACAGTTTGTTTGCTGCTTTCAAATCATTCAAAGGTGATGAGCATGTTCTGCTGATGTTCACTTAACACAAAGAGGATAACAGATAAATCTCACTTATTCACTCTAGCTTTCAAACTCTGATCAACAACCCCCCGTTGAATCTTTTATTCGATGACAAACATAACTATTAGTTTAAGGTATGGGACGATATGAACATTTCACGCTTTGATTATCCTAACCAAAAATGATTGCAAATGTTGCCAGTCAACTTGTCCGAGAAGGTTTCAATGTATAGGAAAAATATTATCTGTTATTGTTTAACTTAAAACTAATGATTTAATATAAGGAACACAATTATTAATAGATTTTAATCTTCTATTGAAAAGACGGCTATAACAAATTCAAAAAGTCCTGTCGAGCCTACCGTACCTCCTAACACAACGAACTTCCGTCAGCTTTAGGCCGACATACTCTGATATCAAATAAAGCTGAATAAAAGCTATTTGTAAAACAACCAAAAATACTGTACATTAGGGCTGCATGATATATCGTGTCGTGACGATAATCGCGATATTCACATCGCAGGACGTGCGTTTTTTTCTTTAGGATGTGCCATATTAAGTAGGAAAATTAACTAAAACACGAATTCTTTTGCTGCTTGCGACAAAAGGAAAACTTGTCTCTCATGTCAGGGGTACTTGAGTGAGTGACAGCTAACCACCAATCACAATCAAATCTCCAAAGCAAACTGACAAGGTGATTAAAAGGTAAAAACTAGGGATGGGAATTTGAAAGCAAATGTATATTCGAATATTCGACCCCCCAAAAAACGGTTAACCGAAATTTACATATCCTATAAAAAAAAAATTCCAAAAAAGAATTCTAAAAGGTTTTTTTTTTTATTTATGTTTAAATAACTTTTGAAAAAAAATAAATACATGTTCAAATAAGTGTAGAAACCAAGTCAAATTAGTCAAATGTATTGAACTGGTGATCACAGTTTGACAGCTATAGGCCTACAGCTTTCATGTGTGGAGGCGATTCACAATCAGGCCAGCTGTAGAGAAGACCCTCTCAGCTGGAACCGAGGTTGCGGGTATAGCAAGGTATAGCATGTATATAAGTTTAATTTGGCATCGTTTGACCTCTACACCGCACTCACCAACCTGGTCGAAATATTTCCACACTCCTTTTTGACGCCATGTCTGTTGTGTAGGACTCTTCTTAGAGTGTAAATAATTACCGGACTATGACTGGTAAAATATGTTGAATACCGGCAAAATTAAATCTCTCCAGTCAAAATGTCTATGTACTTTGCCGCCACACACGGTTGCCAAGCAGCGCTTATTGTTGTTTAGGCTGGCCATGTGTCGCGAGTGTTGACAGGGGGCGGGGGAGCACGCTCATGAACTGTTAGCGCCGGAACCTCGCAACGGCTGCGGAGCGCATTTGGGCATAAATGAGGTTTGAGTCTGCGTGATCTGCGTGTAGGGAGGGGCAGCAATCATATCATTAGCTAGAACTAGCTAGATCTGATGGATTTGGACATAAACACGAGTGAAGTATAACCGGACGAGAGAGAGAGATCAGCACCTGCAGCTCTGCCCGCTGTGAGGGACCGGTGAGCGGAGCAAAACACACCTTTAGACCTAACACATTTAGCTATGGCACTGTCGCATACATTGAATTATTCAATTTGATAATATGTAATCAACTTAGGCACCCCCCCTAAAATTAATAACTCATATTCGAATACCTGAATAATTTCGAATATTCGATTAATCGATTAATCGTTCCCATCCCTAGTAAAAACACTGAATAAATGAATTTCATGTGTTTCTCCAAGGCAGTTCGGCGCTGCTAACCGAGCAGCTTGTTGCTCCGATAACTTAAGATCCAGACGTCCGTGACTAAAATCCTTCATCCGGTTAAATATAGTTAGAAAAATACCAATTGTCTAGCATTCAAGTTCAAGAAAGGATGGTTTGCGGACAAAAAAAAACTGTCTTTTCTTCAATTCCTGTATTTTTTCATATCGCAATATATATATCGCAGGGGAAGAAAATATCGCGATGTCAGTTTTTTCCAATATCGTGCATGCTTGTCTGGCTCATAAAACTTTATACAAGACGTAGAGTAAGTATAATGGGAATTCACAAAGATCTGTGTTAAAGGGGTAGAACAGATATGTGAGTAAATATAACCCAGAAGAGTTTAATTGCCTCCAACATAAACAGCTTTCTCTCTTACTACAGGTATCCTGAGTCTCTCTGTGCAATATCAATCACTACCTGAACGCTGACAGGATGCTCTCTGGAGCTGTGGAAATATGTAAAAATAACCTAAATTCAAAGTCACCTTTCATATTCTCAGCGGAGAAATAAGAGCATCTCTTCATCTTACTCACAGATTGAAAAGGGAAAGACTACCGCTATGTGTGTGAGAGAAGATAAGAGTGTGTTCCTCGCTATAAACTGATCAGTCAAATCACACGAGGGGAAAAAAACATACATCCAAGTGTCGGAATGACTCGGTGTATCGCTTTAAAATCTGTGGGAATAAAAATTGAGTTCAGACTTCATCTCCTTGAACTTTCAGCATGAGCCCTTTTCATTTTCCTACGCGATCCAGCGAGCGGAAAGCCTTTCAATACAACATATTCGTTTCATTACCCTGAAGGAGCACGGGAGGAGAAAGGCCCGACCTTGTAAGGAAACGTAGTAATAAAAAGAAGCAGAGGAGGGAGATAACAATAAAAAAAGCCACGTGTTGTTTTGGGAGCAGCTACTTGAGCGTTCAAGATAGTAAAGGATCGGCACACATTTTAAAACAACATGAAGTGGCTGTATTGTATCCGACAAAAGGGAGGGAAGTCTTTTTCCTTCTCCGCAGGGCACTTGTCGAGTCCACGGTCAGACACCAGGCAGGCCAGTATGAGATAATCACAACACACAATGGGCACGAGACCTCAGACAGCTTCACTCTACGGGATTCCCTGCATGCGCTTGTCTGTTAAGACCGACTACATGCCAGAGGGTTCAAGTAGGGTTTTTAAGCAGAGATATGAGTAAGTGGCTACGGCAAACTGGATGTTTGTAAATAATTGGACTACGCTGTCAGGAAGTGCTGCCCACTGTGCATGTACAAACATTATGGTTTCTGGCTTTGAGTCTCCTTCAGTGGAGTTTTGGTTGCAGGTGGAAAATACGCTTATTTTTGGTTTTGTTGGGCTCTCCAATGACTTAGTATGGATATTTGAGGATCAATGAGAGGTACTTCTTAAGTCTAGCTTTGCTTTAGGTACAGCTACACCCATTAGCTCCACCGTAAAATAGAAGCAAAATGTGCCTTTAAGGAAACAATCCCACTTTTTAAATATGACAAGCATGCTCATTTCTGACGTGGAGCTAATCTGAAGTAAACATTGAATACTGCTTTCTACTCCTCCATCTTGTGACTGTGTAACTCCCTCTCTAGGATATCAGCATGTGAAGGACACTGTTCAGGAACTAGTTGATGCTCTGTATGTGATGACTCCTTCCATTCTGGAGAGGATCACAGATACATGGATCCTGAGGTTGAAGCTCAAGCCGGTGACGAGTGATATTTTTCTAACATAATCTAAATCAGTAGTTACTGACCTGTTGTCCGTACTGCATGCCGCCCATAGCGCCAGGCGTTCGGTTCTGCATCCCCATTGGATATCTCTGAGGGCCCGGAGGTCCGTATCCTTGCCCAGGATAGGAGCCTCCTTGCTGGGGACCGGGACCTGCTGGAGGGCCTTGCTGCTGCTGCTGGGAGTAAGGGTTGGGTCCTCCATATGATGGCTGGCCACGCATTTTCCCTACTTGCTCCATTGGGCTCGGAGGCTGGAGGACACACAGAAAGAAAATTCAGTGTTTAAAAAGGTCAACTATTATGCAAAATCCTCTTCTTCATGTCTCTTCTACATCAACATGTGTCCCCTCTTCTTCATGTCTCTTCTACATCAACATGTGTCCCCTCTTCTTCATGTCTCCTCTACATCAACATGTGTCCCCTCTTCTTCATGTCTCTTCTACATCAACATGTGTCCCCTCTTCTCCATGTCTCTTCTACATCAACATGTGTCCCCTCTGTGGAAAGAGAGTCTGAACGTTTCAGGAACAAAGATTCTCTCTCTTTTTGTCCTGATCCATTTCTATAAAAACCTGTCTGAAAATGAGCTGATCAGAGTTTGGTCACTTTATGATGTCATAACGATGTTTTGGCTTGTGTAGCCATTAGCCAATCACCAACCCCCCCCCCCCCCACACACCTTATCACCTGAATCTCCTCCTAGAGCACCAATAGCCGCTTTCACACCAAGTACTTTGCCGTACTTAGTTCCCCCATGGAACTAAAGAGCCGATCGCGTTCACACCGGAATAAGTCCCTGAGGGAAGATTACGCAAATGAAGCCGCTGACGTCACTTCTTCTTCTTCTGCTTTGGGTTTACTGGCAGGGCGCAAACAACTTCACGGCGTATACTGCCACCCGAAGTCCCCGGCCGGAAGTCCCCGGAGTTAGGGACCGGCTTCAGTAGAAGCCTTCCGAGTAAATCGCCAGAGCACCGACACCTCCTCATCACGCCAATGTTTTTTTTTGTGTTGCCATAAGTTATTCTCTCTCCGTTGGTGCGCGGGGCTAATGCTAATAATGCTAATGCTAATAATGCTAATGCTAATAATGCTAATGCCAGCAAATACAATGGCGGCTTCACAAAACTTTTCAGAGTTTTACGGGCCGTGGTTTGCAATCCGCCCAGCCAATCAGAAATTGGTACTTGTTTCTCCCCAGGAAAGTACCTGCTCTCTAGCAGGCACTAAGAATGGGGGTCAAAGTTCTCTGAACTAAGTTCTCTTTTTGGCGTGAACGCAAAATTCCAGGCACTATCGGAACTATACTGGGAAAAGTACGGGGAAAAGTGCTCCGGTGTGAAAGCGCTTATTGAGTTCTTTGTAACCAAATGTCTCTCAGAGGGGCGTGGGGAGGGGCTCCTTATTTCCATCTAAAGTAACAGACAGAGAATCAGCACTTTGGAAACAGGGCTGAAACAGAGGGGATTATGGGTAATGCTGCAATGATCCGTTTGGTGTTTCAGCCAATCAGAGACATGTTCTGTATATATCTGAGAGCTGTGATATATTGATGAAACAAGGGGACTTTAAATCAGCTGAAAGAGTGGATGGAAAAGCTCTGGATTGGGAGGTAATGGTCTGTCGTTGGATTTGGTGGCTGATGGGTATGTTTGTGTTGTATTGCTTTTATTGGACGGTGCAGCCAAACATTCTGACAAGCTATAACGAGCTCCATAACGATGCAGCTGATAGGATATTGTTCTCACTCCAGCAATGTGACAGCAAAATGTTAAAAGGGTTATTTTGGATCCTTTTAAGTGGGGTTTATTTTCTCTAAAAAGCATTACTCAGCAATGAACACAAATGAGTACCATTGTGTCGTGCAAGCATCATCTCATAAACCCGTCACATGATAATCAAAGCACAGAACAAAAAGCAGATGGGGGAGGTATACAAAAAATAGTAGTGGATTTACTTTCCTTACTAGAAAGGGAAGAAATTGGCCTTGAATGAATGAATGATCCCACTATATCTGCCAGGAGCGTTTCCCTGCCCGGCAGATCATCGTGCCAGTGGGTGGATTCTGTTACAGGGAGGGTTTCTATGAAAATAAGCGTAAGGAAGTGGATGTGTCTGTGGTGTCAGGGTTTGTTGTTGGCTGGGGCAATGACCTTGGCCCTGTTTGGACTCAGGGAGATCCACGTGGCCTTTTTTTTGGCTACTGAGCAAAAGAGGGAAACTGAAAGTAGAGGAGGGGGCGACGGAGGGTTGTAATGAGGTAGCTTCTCCTGTCAACAGCTGGAGCCAAGGTCATAAAGTGTGTGTGAGTGTACATAAAAGACGAGGCTGGTGGAATCCCAACACCCTTCGAGCGAAACAAAAATAAACACAATTCAAAAGCTGCTATAGGGTAGCAGGAATAAGTCCTAAAACACGAACATTTGTCAGCATTTTGACACTTCTGGGTCCTCGCTCTCAAAGTCACAAATGTTTTAAAGCATTGTGTTTATACAGCTGAAAGAAGATTCAAGATTCAAGGCTTTTATTGTCATTCGTACAGAGCTACAGTGTAGATATGTACGAATGAAAACCTTAGGTCACAGGCTCCTCCAACAGTGCAACACAATAAAACTGATCAAATAGTGCACGTAAATACAAATAGGATAGGATAGAAATAGTCTGTGGTCTGAGGCAAGCTTAAGACGTTTTCACATTTTCATTACACATGGTAGCCACCTAACCCTTTAACACTAATGTTGGAGATTTATGAGAGAACTTCTGAAGATTAAAATCGTTTAAGCTTTGGGTGAAAGTGTTTCTGGTTTCAGACAAAATCACTTGCTGCACATGTTATACTGGCAGAACATCAACTTTACATTTTACGTATTTTATGTTCGACGACATAAAATACGTCAGGAAATACCCCACTGTTGATGTCGTCACGCCGACGTTAGCCGCCTTTAGCTTAGCGGTGGTGACATGAAGTCATTTGAGCGTGATGTAGTTTCTTTATAGTGCAACGTTAGCTTTTTACTTCTGGTGATTTCAATTCAGCTTCCAAACACATTGAAGAATCTTAAATATCCCGACTTTAAGCCTCGAGTCCACCAATACACAATCCTGCATCTCCCACAATGCAACTGTAAAGCATGTTTGATTAAACCATTCCTGCCTCCTAAAGTTCACATGAAAAAGAAAAAGCTCCTCACTCCGGACACACATTGGCTCTTTGAAGAGGTTATGGCTGAGTAGTAAGGACGGCACAATTCATTTGAAACTTTATCAAAACCACAATAAAGACCAGCGTTTCCGCCGGGGCGTCTTGCCGTCCAAAAAAATAAATAATTTGAGAGAAGATCGAGTTTTTATCGCTTGAAATGTCGAAAAGGAAAAAGGACAAGGACATCCCTCAAAGGAGTCTGGTGGGATTATTTTCGCCGCCATTCCTGTGACGGAAAAAAACTAAACACCGCCGCATCTTCCAAGGACCATGCCAGGAGGGGTGTCCCAGACGTTGAGAGATAGGATAAGGGACGGCGCAATTCAAAATTCAAGTCGTGACACGACACGACGTGACGTCACACAACCCCCCCCCCCCCCGCCCTCTCAGCCCTAGTCTGGCGGAAACACTGATAAAGACACAAAGTGTGAAAGGTGTGTTCAACGCCTTCAATGTCGATATGTGTGCGATGTGTTCTGGATATGAACACAAGAGTCACAGGAAAAAGGAGTAGCTCTACTCATCTCATTGTACCTGTATAATGACAATAAAGGATTATATTCTATTCATAAACGTTTGTTTGCTTCAAAGCTTATTTCCTGCAACATTTTGAAATCCAGTGGATGAAAATCCCATTGGCTTCAAGTCGTGATGCTAACTTCAGGTGGGCTTAAAAAAAGACTTCACCACAGCACCACTCTGAAGTGTTCCTCTGCTGGAAATCAGAAAAAAAACCTCAAACCAGGGCTGTCTGGTTAGCGCAATGTCATGCCATCTGTCTAATTATCATCTGGCCGGGGACAACAGCTGGAAATTGGCAATGTTGGCTAAAGCTGTTACTGTTTTGTGTGACAGTTGATCAATGGGGACTGTCCACGACACTATAAACAAATGAACTAAATCTCACCGCTGGCAGCCCGTGTTTCACCATCAACCCAGCGGCGTCTGAAAGTACGCGCCACAATGAGGGTCTTTTGAAGTAGCAACACCTCCTGGCCCGCTGACCTCAGAAAGCAGACACAAAGCTTTCATTGCTTCCCACGGTTATTAATCTCTGTGTGTGTGTGTGTGTTTTTTTTTCTTCCTCCCACAAAAAACCTCTTTTCCTTGGTTAAGGGAGACAACCACCGGGTGCTATTTATAGCCAGCGAGACGGAGAGAGGGCAGTCTGCCGAAAATGTAACAGGTCCCAGCTGCACTGCTGTTTGAACCCGGGCCAGAAGTCGCTCTTCCTGGGCTTTAATAAAGCAGCAGGCTTTGGCACTGAATGAATGACAGTGAGAGGAGGGTGTAAAAAAGGGGGGAGGGTGGTGTGTGAAAATATATATGTGTGTGGGTGTGTGTGTGTGTATGTGTATGTGTATGTGTATGTGTATGTGTATGTGTATGTGTGTGTGTATGTGTATGTGTATGTGTATGTGTGTGTGTGTGTGAGTGAGTGTGTGTGTGTGCAATGTAAATACTGTTATATTTTTCTACCTGTGTTTTTAATTCTTGTTTGTGCGCACCACGACACCGAGTCAAATGCCATGTACGTGTAAACCTACCTGGTAATAAACCTGATCCTGATAATAATAATGATTGAAAAATGAAAACATATATACTAATATCAAGAGGATGCTGTGGTGTGCAACTCTGATTGCCTTTGTCATAAAGTGTATGTTCTACTTACACTGAAACAACTGAAGCGTTGACTTTAATTAAATGTATTATATCAACAGATTTCACTTAACTGTATTAGGTTAGTTGAAAGCAATAACATTATAACCTATTTAAACTTAAAAGTATTGCTTTCAACTAAACTAATACCGTTAAGTGACATCTGTTTACATAATACATTTCATTTCAATTCTTCAGTTTCAGTGTGTGTTCAGAGTCATTACTGCAGAACTGTTTGTATTCTATTTTCTGTCAAATCGGAACCTTTCATGCTCGACGCAGCCCAAAGAGTAAGTCAACAAATCACAATAACAAATGAGGAACATAATTACACGATGTAAAAACAATAAGAATATGAACAGTGATACTACTAAAAATTATAAGCCAAAT